AGGGTTTTCGGCATCTTGCGCTTACTTCCTTGCGTACGGATGACAGCTGCGTACGAATTAGTTTAGTTTCCGGTGCTTTCACTTCCAGAGACAGTTGCAAGCACTGTGTAACTGCCTCCAGGGTGCTTGACCATTTTAACACAACGTGGTGCGATCATCCCCCTTGCGCGGAGTGAGGGTTCTCCACCCCGCACAACATGATCTACTCGACCACCATTATGGTTACCACCAAAAAAAAACCTAAGGTAAAAAAAACCCGGTAACCTGGTTGCCGAGTTCACGAAGTGAATTGGCTTGTTTTACAACGTCGTTGCCAAGCGACGAAACCCAATCCCGATGGCAAACACCGGGGGAGGTGGCTTGTTTTACAACGTCGTTGCCAAGCGACGACAACCCAACCCCGATGGCATAACACTGGGCGGGGCGGCTTGTTTTACAAGAGAGAGAACCACGATGATACTTGTACCTGGGTATTGTCTGGTGCTTGTTTTGTCACATTTCTGTATGGAGGGGGGGGGTAAAGAACAAACACGTGTGTTCGGTAAACCGCGGTGCACCATCGTGCATCGTGGACTTCCGTTGACTCGCCCATTGGTATGTATGTAACGTTGTGAGTTTTTCCCATGTGTTGAGGGTGCAACGATCTTCTCCGCGAAAGTAAGCCACACGGTGATAGCACGAATGGCATATGGTAGCTTTTATTGGTGCAGTAGGGTGCCGCCCGAGAAGATGGGCCAAAACACAACCAAACACAAAACACACAAAAGTCGCACGCGTATGCATATCCCATCTGGTGCACCGAGTCCTATTCTCCACCGAAATACTCGCTTACGCCTCACACAATTAACTCCCAGTACCTTGTACGAAGAGGCGTATCCCCTATTTATGTTCTGTCAAGACACCTATTAATAATGGGATGGGAGGGAGCCGGAAGAAGGTCGAATCGGAGAGGAAGAAAGCAAGCGAGAAGTGGCGGACCGCGTGGCGCGATATGTGCCGGATTGAACTCTCTTGACTAATCTTCCCGCCTATATTGCTGCACCATTGCAACACCCCCCACAGGAGTGATGACAAGTCTTAACTATCCGTGGTGATTTGGTGGTTGTTTCTCTTATTTTTCTTTTCGCTTCCACTCTCTCTTCTCTTGCAGTTATACTGCTGGAGGACCTGGCGTACGTCGGTAACACGGGACCATCATGTTTCCTTTTCCTTCCCCTTGAATCCTGCCTGTGTTACAAATCAATGGGGAGGCCTAGAGTTTGTTTGCCTGGCGGGCGAGAACCCGGCACGGAACACCCCGGCATTGTAGGGGTACCAAGATAGAACCAGGGGGGAGTGTAGACTAAACCCCTGGTAAGTGATGTAGACTGTTCCAGTTTTATTTTTTACCTCACATAGCATGTAGAGGGGAGCAGCGTGGGCTCCAGACTATCTGTTTTCGACTGATGTTTTAAAACCCTAACCCTAGGCCCTTGTTTATTCCGTGTACCTTTTTTAGGTAAATTACCTGTGACCACGGGAATTGGCCGCATCGTATGTTGGATCAGCACGGACAGATGGAGGTACTGGGTGGAGAGATCGTGAGATTTTTTAATGTGAAGACAACACAAACATAAAGCAACAACACCAATACTGACCCCATATCATACTTCAGTACAAGTCTCCCCCGGACAGACACAATGAACCCACGCTTTGTGTGGATGTGGGACATACTACAGTGTAGGCAGGGGCGGTAAGGGATAGAAAGTGCTGATAAGAATATCCCTGAATCTGTTTTTTCATTTTTGCGCATGTACTAGAGTACCACATGTACTGGTACAAAATATAAAGAGTGGAAAAGCGCGAGAGCGGGACAACTTTACCCATGTATCAAAACTACAGAGACTCTAAAATCGTATTACCATCTACAGTCAGCCGTAGGAC